CACAAATCGTGTCTGTCTTGCAAGAAAGCAACGGCATCCGCTCCGCCCCATTATGCTGGCGGTTTGTAATGCTGTTGGTCCTACAGCATAGGCGTTCCCCATGCTAAGCGCCTAGGCCAAAACCTCTGCGCACTGGCATGATATCGGCCTGCAGTCCCCTACTGCAAGACAAATCTGATTTGTGTACGCAAATCCAGCATCAGAAGTTTCGTTTTGATATGGGGTGGGGGCTTTTTTCACTTTGATAAAATGCACGAGAAGCTGCGGGCGAAGGAGATGAAGATGAAACACACAGCTACATCTTCGCGCCACAAGAAGGTCCATACTGCTTCTTCCAAGAAGTCGTCTGTTTCATCCACCCTGGTTCAAAAATCTTCTGTGCCGGCCAAAAACAGCATTAACGTCGTGAAGAGCATTTCGCTCTCCGCCGCGGTGGCGAAGAAGAACTACGGCGCTGCTGCGGGAGGGCAACAATCGGACCTGACCTTCCCCGGGTTCGACGACGATGACACCAGTCTCCTCTACCAGGACTCTGTGGAAAATTTCGGGACCTCCACGCACGTGACCAATATCAAATGCAAATATGTCTCGGTCTGGAACAGTGGAACTTGTGATGCGTGTCTTGCATTCCTGGAAAATTTTTGTTGCATGAGCAGCAAGAGAGGGGCTTGTTCCACTTCCTTTGTCATGCAAAAACGCAATTTGTGATGCGTTCTAGGCATAAGCAGGCGTCCCAAAACTTGTCATGCTTGGCTGCCATTGCAAGCGCTTCAATCATGCTCAATTCAGCATCACAGGTTTTCAGACCCAGACATTTTTGCACTTGATAACCAACCACAACGAGCTAGCATCTCACGCGGCGTCGCCGATGGCCTTGTGGCGGCACGGACCCTTCCTGCCGACGCCAATGATTTTGTAAGATTTCTTGTTTGAGGATGAGGTGGGGATAAGGATAACAGAAATGAAGATGAAAATCTGTATAATTTCACAGACTTGAAGAAAATATTTGCCATGCATGTAATGTACGGCAAACTAGCCATGTGCCTGCAGGGATAGCCCCGAGGATTTCATGGCCGTCGTGAAAATTATTTTGATGAGTATTACCAGAGTTTGGATTTTGACTTCGCGTTTCAATGAACACTTGATATGTTTCTTGAACGATTTTGTCGAAGGTAAATTTTGGGACAACATCAAGTTGTGTTTGAGCTTTGTTGAAATGAAAAACTAAAAGAAAAATAGAAGCTGAGAGGCAAGTTGTTCTTGTCCAGCACTGCTTGCGTCGTGAAAATAAACGTCGGCACAGCGACCAAGGTTGTAAGTACTGTTCCTTCTCTATTTGCGGTTTACTGTGTGCACGTGTGTCAAATTCTACCTCGGTAGCGGCGGTTTGCCCGTTCGTCAACTTTTTTTCGCGAAACGCCGTCGGTCTCTCGGTTTGTATTTCAGTAATTTTGATGAATTGTGCATTTTTTCTTCGTTTTTCGCGAAACAGTATCGGTTTCTCTGCTTGTAAATTATCAGCTTTGCTCAATTATGCGCATTTTTGCGCGAAACACGACGGTAGTCTCGTCCAGAACATGAAAAATTGCGGCTGGTACAAGCGCACGCAATATGTTACTTTTTGCTTCTTTTTATTCATCAGAATCGCGGCAGTGCCGCCCATTTTAGCTTTAAAAAGGCAAAAATCCTCCACGTTAACTAAGAAGACTCGATGCAGCGTGCCCTCGGTGCAAGCCATTTATTTATGTTTCGAAGAAGTTGTGCTCGTCCTACACTCAACTTTGCAAAGCGAAGATCAATAAGACACCTAGAGGAGGATCTTTTCCGTAAGTACTGCAGTCGCAGACGCAGCCAGATAGTCATAAAGTTCAAGATCTTCGTTTGTGAGGATCCAACAGCATTACGATCGTACGTGTCAACGGTGATATCCTCACCTGCAGTGCTACTATTGTTGGACTGGATAGTACTAAGAGTTCACGGAAGATGAGATCATGTATGATCATGATTGGATCTAGAAGTAAGAACACAACGACACATCTCCAACTCCATCTGGATGAAGATAATGATCTTCCTTATTTTACTACGTCCGCACTAGGACTGGCTCAGTAACATCAAGTCGATCTACTATGTCTCACCGCCACGCCGCTTGCTTTGTTCGGAGATGTTTCCGAGGACAAAGGAAGGCGGTCGTGGGAATGCACTCTTATGACCACGTGTGAAGGAGATCTTTTTTAACCGGGCCCATCTAAGTAGTAGGGGTCTAAGTTGATGTGTGAAGAGATGCTAGATCTTCATCCGAGATGACACATTTTCAATACCAAACAATGCCGTTGCTTACCTCACTACAGGTTCATCTTTGTTGTGCGACCGGGTCGTAATTCATTGATTCTGTGAATTTCGATTTGTCTTTCGCGACGGGATTATTTTACGTTTCTATTTTTTTTTCCAACTAAGAGGAGCTTGTACGTGGTGAAGCCACGAAAATAAAAAAAGTGGAGGCAGATGAAATAGAGCACGACATAATTTCAGTACTACATTCATTCTAGCTATTCGACCTCTAGTACCGTTTGTAGCTTGATGAAAAATAAACTTTTCTTTTACCGGTACTAGGTAGAAGTATACTAGCAATATCGACTGGTGGCCGCAAGGTTGTTGTAGCCGGACAGAAAAGCTACAAGAAAACCGCCACATTTTCTAGCTACATTTTTCACCACTCCTACGAATCTTCGGCGGCATAGACGAGTTTCGACGTATTTTTTGAGTACAAGTTGTACACAATTAACAGCGAAGAACACCCCACAAGAACTTATATAATACTTTTGTACCATCAACCGCCTGAAATATAATCCAAATTTCGACTTCCTTCAGAAAATCCCATTACCGCCCGTTGACAGGAAGACAGGAAGTAGTTGCTACTAGTTCTGCTGGTGTCTATTCTTTATTGTGGTGTGTGGTGGTTTCTCGTCAACCAGCGTTGTCGTGTGAACCCTGAAAAGACCGGACCACACGAGGACTTCGGCTACACTCACTTATTTCGACGTCGAGCCTGTCAACATTTTTGTCGCAGTCGCCTGTTGATTTGTGACTGCTCCTCTCTAGTGAAACTAGAAGACGACACCGTATAAGATTTTCGCTATTTTTACCTGTCGCTGCTACAAAGGTGGAAACAAAATTGTTTATTTGGGTTTGACACTTCTTCACTGTCGATACGCATAAGTTATAAACTTCGCTTGTACAACAGCTGTGCTGTCGGTGGAAAAAAATTATACTACTTAGATTCTATTCGGATACTGGCATACAAGTGTAAGCAGAATCCGGAATTAGAACGAAGCGGAGCTCCAACATAGAAAATCATCAAAACTTCACTTTATTGTCGTTTCATTCCCTGACGCACCGCCACTGCGCAGGAGTAGAAAATCAACATAGACACGACTGAAAATACTCTTTCTTTATTCTTAGAACTTGTGAATACAAAGCGACTTGGACTAGGACTTTCTCTACTAAGTACAGGTACAACAACCTGTCGATACAGAATACGAATGAGTACAGCCGCGCTGTGAGACGTAATGCGCTTGATACTTAGCACGATATTCTTGTCTCTTCGCGGTTGAAGCAGCAAGAATTTAGACGAATACTCTACTATATTTGATATTCGCTATCATATCCTCGGTTTGCCACGTACAGTAATCCGCAGAAAACAAAGAAACAAACTAACAAACATCATATTATACGAACAAAATCCCACTTCATAGTTACCATAGTTTTTACGTTTAGGGTTCCTATCTTTGATTTTAGCTGAAATTCCAAGAAAATAGTATAATTACGCTAAAAATATTATTCCTCGACAACTAGACAATTTGTACGAGGTGAACAAGATGTTTTCCAAAAACAAGAAGCCCTGCCGCGCGGCGGGACCACTTGTATTGCTGATGCTTAGCCAGTGCATTTTACACTTCGGATTCGGACTTTTTGCACTCTACTCTACGACGGGCCAGCTCACCCTCGTCGCAGCCTCCCTCTCCCCCGGCGGCTCGTCCTCCGTATCAAATGTAAAAATGTCGGGGGCTGGAAGATTGCCGGGTTTGTCATGCATATTTTGCATGACTCCTCAAGTCTGTGATGCATGCCCTAGCATCACAGATTTTGCGAGGGCTTTCTGATGCCTATTCCGCATGACAAATGCCCTTTCCGTGCTGCAAAATTTGGACTCTCTTTGCTGCTCATGCAATACAGATTTTTTTAGAATCCAAAATCAGCATGACAAGTTGGATTCCATCAGACCCAGACATTTTTACATTTGATACTCCGATAGCGGAGACAATGACAGCCAGGAGTCCCGGCGCCGCGCCGCACTTGCGGCGGCTGAACAGCGGGCGGCCACGCAGAACACAGGTATTTCCCGGGAACGGCTAGAACAGATGAGTAACGCTCGCGCGGTAGAGGAGAAGGCGGCTCTAATCCGGTCGTTTTACTCGGCTAATCCGAGCTTGACGCCCCCAAACATGGAAATGGCCATCAACATGGCGATAAACAGGGGCAAGGGGGAAAGTTTGGACAAAATGCTGAGACTCTGTGCCGAGAAGGTCGAGCGGGGCGAAGCGAATTTGCCTCCGAAATGGAAAGACGACTTAGAGGCGACAGAAGCGCGGCACGCGGAGCTCGACGAAGAAGAGGGGAATGTCCCGGCAAGATCCTCGTCGAATCCCCTGGCGAGTTTCGGCGCCGCTGGCGTCCAGGGCGCCCGGGGCCTCGGGGGCGCTGTGTTGGGCACCGCAAGCAGTCTGGGACGCTTCGGACTCAACCTAGCTCGGGGAGCCGGGGGTGCGGCGGCCTCAACCGGTGGCGCAGTGGTCTCCACGGCCGCGGCAGCTCGTACTTCTATTTCGTCCAGCGGACAGGCTGGTGCTGCAAGCAGTTCCTCTGCAGCAGCGGATGCAGGACCAGAACGAAATCAGGAACAAAGTGCAGATCATGAACCGCAGGAACATTCAGGAACTACAAGTGCAGGTGGTGTTGATGCTGACCCAACATCCCCGACGTCAGCCGCGGCGGTTGCTGCTGCTGGTGGCCCTGCTACTCTGCCGCAAGAAGAATCACGAACGGCTGGTGCCCAAACTCCTAAACCCCCACCTGCTGCTGCTCGTCGAGATCACGATGAGAGTTCGTCTGACGTCGATTCCGATGACGAGCCTCCGCGAAAGGCGGGTCCGGTTGTACGGGCGAAAGCCGCTGGTGGCCCGAAGTCCCCCGCCGGTAATGCGAAACCGAAGGCAAAAGTCGTTCCGAAGCGCGGCGCGCGAGGTAACTCCAGTGCCAGCGACGATGACAGCAGTGATGCGGAAGTGGCAGGTGCTGCGGGGTCCTCGTCGGGTACTACTAGTGCACAGGCTGACGCCGCTGCACTGGCAGAGCGCGAGGAGCAGGAGAGGCAAGCTCGTTTGCAGCAGGAGGAGAGGGAGAAACAACTGGAAAAGGAGCGAGTTGAACGGCAGCGGCGTTTGGAGCAAAAACAAAAAGCCCGCGCGGAACAAGAGGCAAGAGACCGTGCGGAGCAAGAGAAAATAAAGGCTCGCGCGGAACAAGAGGCAAAGGACCGCGCAGCCGCGCAGGAAGCACAAGATCGCGCAGAAAGAGAGGCCAGGGAACGAGCGGACAGAGAGGCAAAAGAGCGCGCGGACAAAGAACGCGCGGACCAAGAGGCCAAGGAACAGGCGGAAAACGAAGAGCGTCTGCGGGCAGAAGCAGCTGCAACATCGCAAACGGTCTTGCCGGGCGTTGAAAGTCGAACTTCCACTCCGGCGGCGCCAAAACCGCCGGCTGCTCCAAAACGGTCTCCCGCCGACGACATATGCATTGCAAAAGTAGTATCGCCTACGCGTACGTGCATGTACAAGTATATTTCGCATGAAAACGAACTTTTTGAAAAAGACAAACGGAGTCTGTCATGCGTATCCAGCTATTCTTGAGAGACCAGGTCTAGTACTGGAGATGTCATGCCAGATTGCAACAACTCATACAAGTAATAGTCATATTTTTTCGATGCATACAACAGTTCCTCGGACATCGACAGTGACGACGAGCCTTCGAGAACAGCTGCCCCGAAGCAAAGCGCCGGCTCTGCCAAAAGTCGAGGCAAGTCGCTGGGGAAGCCCAAAGCGAAGTCGAAATCCAAGCCCAAGCCCAAGGCCGGCGCCGGACAGCGAGGCGGCTCCGTGGGGGCTCCTCGTATTAATCAACAAAGTTCGGTAGGCGCGGCAAAAAGGACGGGAGGCGCGGCAAGCAACAAAAGTAGCGACGATGATGACTCC